CTTGTTTTAAATTCCTGTCGGGAAATAAATGTTTTCTATTACTGTTGTTTTTGAATAGAACTGTGCATAAAATTGTCAAAGAAAAATCATCTTTTAAAGGTCTTTGGAGCATTTCTGAAGGAAGTTTTGCACAGCTATACACAGCAGAAAGCAAAGGTCGGTTTTTATCATAAGAAGAAAGAAAAGGAATGAAATGCTACCTGACACAAGCGCGCAACAGAGAGAGAGAAAGAAAGAGAGGGGAAGCCTATACCTATGTCCAAAGATGACTAGCCTCCTCATCTCCCCTACTTTCGTCAACTAATGTACAATGTTCGTGTCTTCATTGAATGAATAACCGGATATATATGTTAAAACAATTAGTCCCTTTGATAAATTTGAATAAGGCATTAAGAAGACAAATTTTGCGAGATGATATCATTTCGTAGTTAACCATGTTAGTTGTAAAGCGGTTGTAAAGAAACTGCGAAATGATATCATCTCGCGAAATTTGTCTTCTTAACGCCTTATTCGGATATATGTGTATCGGAAAATCAATGAGCAATGTGAGTGTTTGTTTGCAATTGTTTGTGTGTGTTATTCCTGTATCATGTTCCTGTTGTACTTTCTTTTCGTTTTGTATGATACCTCACACCTTCTATTTAAAGATTTTCATTTAATTTATTCATTCACTGGTGAGTACAACATTATGCACAATACCGTCCCGTAGAAGTCAATAGAAATCAATATTTGTGCTACTGTATTATTTTTTTGTTTTGTTTTGTTTTGTTTTCTATTACACAATTAAACACACTAGACAGTAAGTAATGCAAACTAAATAAAAAACTATAGTTTGTAAAGAATAAACACGCACACACGCACCTACGCACAGACACAGATCACCTTTAGAAGATCTGTAGTATATATAAAGATATATCGATCTATTTCTTTCTGTTTTAATCATAATAATTGTTGTGTGTGTGTGAGTGAGTGTATGTATGAGACACATGACTGACTGATGAACGTGTGTGTGTGTGTGTGGGTGCGTGCGTGCAGTTTTGTGTTGTTTTTCTCTCTTTGCAAGTTTAATCAGATTTTGAAAGAAGACGATTCTGGTGGAGCTACATGGCCTGAGTTCACCAAATGCTCGAGAATTCAGCTAGTAATTGTCTTGCATTGTCCCTTTGCTAACCATGCCGGATAATGTTCAGAGATGCGCACAAAGCGCACGCTTTCCAAAAAAGCGTGGTTGTTGAGATACATAAAAACACCACTGTTTTGCTGTATTTCAGTAATTTGTATTACATATGCAAAATCTCTGTATCTATTTCTTCCAAAAATGTAGGGTATCGATTTTAATTGAATTTTACATTTTCCCGTCGATTGATTGGACAGAAGTGCTCGGTGTCTCAGGTTGACATATCGGCTTCTTGTGCAGATGCTTCGACGATGTCTGGGCATTTAATTAGAATTTAATTTCATTTGTGGATGGTGACTAGCATTGGAATCCACCAGGATGCGCATTTCGTCCTGTTTGGGACTCGTCAACTAACTGGATGTACCTGCATTTCTCAGTCTCTCAACCTGAGACCGAGCACTTCAGTCCAATCTGTCGACGGGAAAATCTAAAATTCAATTAAATCAATATGACCCATTGCACAAGAGGTGGCTCTCGTGGCCCAAGTGGTCTAGTGGATAACGCTTTGGCGTTTGAAACTATGGGCACTGGGTTCGAGCCTCTGGTGGGAACATCATCACTCACTGAGAAATGCAGGTACATCCAGATGACGAGTCCCAAATAGGACCAAATGCGCAGTCTGGATTCCACTGCTACTCACCATTCACAAATTAAATACATAATCATATTAGTTTAGTGACTCAGTGGGTGAACACCATCCCTAACTGGGGATACACGTACATCCAGCTGACTTGTTTCAAATATAGGACAAAATAATCAGGCTGAATTCTACTTCAAGTTGTCATCAAATAAATGAGATCAGTTCACGATTCAGTTTACAATACGATCTAGATTAAAGACAACCTGTGAAAGGCGACGAAATTTGAATAAATATTCATTATGCCGAGATGCCTTGATCTCACTACATTTGAAAGATTTGATCAGATTTTGTGCATGATTTTGAATGGCTTTTCATATGGGAACGGAATGTTGAGTATTGCCTTTGACAAATCACTCTTCATTGGACACTAGTAACTAGTGTGACGTGTCTAGTCCTTTCGTTGGTGCAGACTGAATTCTATCAGTCAGGTTTTGTAATGTGGCCACTATTCTAGGTAGCTCGCCATCACGGTGCACATTGCTATGATGATATTAGATAGTTGGAGGCAATCGGCAGGAAGCCTTGGACCTAGGTTTCGTGCTAGTTGGCACTCATCAGCAAGGCGTATCTGCAACCTTGAAGGAACTCATGTCCCTTCTGAGATTCGAACCCGCGTCACCCAGTGCTGCAGTCAGAGACGTTACCACTGAGCTATTCGGGCTCAGTTGAGTACACCAGATTTTCTAGTACCAAGCTATATACACACACCTGCGCTTCGCTATTGCCGGCCAGATTGGATAGTATTTCCGAGTGTGTTTTACAATTGCACGTATAGTCAAAGTTGACACCCAAAAAGAGGTGCTGGATGCCCAATCTCCAATTTGAAAGTAATACTGAAGTAGAAGTTCTCCGTAAACAGCTTACGAAATCTCTCAGGAAAATATACTTCACCGCCAGCCTACGAATAACATTCTCCTGCAAGAAACTACTCACCCAACACGCGAAAGACAAGTTGTCGCATTGAGCCACATCAGCATGCATACTCAAGAACACAGGTGTGTATATAGTTTGGTAACAGGACATCTGATGGACTCAAGATATATGCAGCTCCATTTGTAAAATCCTCCAAAGACATATACAATATCCAACCAAACCTTTCAAAAGAAATGAGATCAAGGTATTGAAATAATAGAGAAGATTTGTAGCTCAGATGGATGCTTTGCAATTATAGTAGTGTTCTCTAAGCTGGTTGGTTTCATTGTGGAGCTTCGTCGTCCCCTCGCTGGACATCTTCAGCGCAGTATTTAGCATAAAGTGAAATAATTTAAATTTCTTCATGAGTGATAGAATCGCGTCTCCTGGTAACCATCTTCACACATGTACTGGTCATTTTTCTATTGACTTGGATTTTGAACTTTCTCGTCACATGATTTACTTTTTATTAGTTGGTATATTTCGTCTATATTAACGTGTTTGTTAATTGCATTTCCATATGAGTACCAGGCTTCTAGGAATTCTCTGGTAGTATTTTTGATGTTTCCTCTGTCTAAGATTTTGACATTATCCCAATCAAATTGATGTCCATAATTGTCTACATTCTTTGATATGAAAGAATATATATCATGTCTTTTCACGGCTGATTTGTGTTCTTGGATTCTGATTTGAAGGGGACGCCCACTTCGACCACCGATGTAATGCCTGTTACAGTTCATGCATGCAATTTATTTTGTAAATGGTATTAATTTTATCTCCTTTTTCTGTTGGATCGGTCTTTTGGTTTGCATCATATCGAATTGAGCAATTTGACTGACTTGTGTGCTATATCTATATCTAACGGTTTCAATATTCTAGCTGTTATTTCAGAGATATTCCTCATGTATGGTAGGATGAATTTTCTTGTGGTCCTTGATGATGGTTTCTTGTTGGTGTTTTGATTCGACTTCAAACACTTTTTGATGAAATTTTGTCGATAACCATTTTTTTTGAAGACCGTTTGTAGGTATCTGGGGTACTAATGGACTTAACCCTAATACACTTCAGCGACTCAGGGATTGACTTGCTACCAGGGAATAATCTCGTTGACTTAGAATATGCAGACGATATAGTCCTTCTAGGCGAGGACACTGACAAAATGCAGAGTCTACTGAACACCTTGAGCAACAATCTTCGTATGTTTGGCATGCGATTCGCCCCTGTAAAATGTAAGATGATGCTGCAGGATTGGACTACACCGACCCCTAGATTAGAAATAGGAAGTGAAGTGATAGAGCACGTTGACCGCTTCACTTACTTGGGAAGTACCATCAGCCCCAACGGGTTGATCTCTGACGAAATCTCAGCACGAATACAGAGGGCTAGTTTCGCATATGCCAGTTTACGCCGTCTCTGGCGTAGACGCGATATCCGACTATCGACCGAAGGGCATGTGTACTGCTCAGCAATCCGCTCCGTCCTCCTTTATGGCTGTGAGACCTGGCCATTGAGAGTGGAAGACATGAAAAGATTAGCTGTCTTTGATCATAGGTGTCTGCGTTCTATCTCCCGCGTGAAGTGGTATAATAAGGTGAGCAATATTGAGGTTAGATTCGGTCGAGTGCTAGGTAAGGAGGGGGAATCAGTCGACGAGACTGTGAAATTACATCGACTGAGATGGTTAGGACATGTGTTACGTATGCCTAGTCATCGCCTTCCTCGACGACGGGCAATGTTAGCTGATATAGGGTCAGGCTGGAAAAGAGCTAGCGGCGGTCAAATGAAAACATGGCACCAATCAATGAAATCCACAACAGTTAGTCTAAGCCACGTAGGAAGGTGTAGACTTCCTGACTGGTTGGGGTCCTCAGGACGGTAAAAACCAATGCGGCTGGAAACAATCAGTGATATGGCTCAAAATCGTTCTCAATGGCTGGTGCAGATGCATCCACTCCTTGTGATTTATGATTTTCAATGAAACTGTTTTGTTCTTCGTTATTACTATTCCTTTGTCTCACACCTCTGTTTACTGTCTATATTATGCATTTCTCCTACTTTCTTCTCTTGCTTTGTGTGCTACAAGGAGTGGAGTGTGGCGACTTGAACTGGCGCACATATGTGCAAAGTTCTATGTCGAAAACCGACCGACCGACCGATCTGATCTAAAACGTTCATCTTCACAAACTGTGTATTTCAAAAGAAATAAATACTCATCAAGAAAAAAGAAAAGAAAAAAAGAAGAAATAATTAGAAAAGTAAAATAGTACTCACCTGATTTTTGTCTAGTTCACAATTCCGATATTCTTGTTCCCCTTCTTGTTGAAATGTGACAATAACAAAACCGACAAATATATTGATCATGAAAAAGGCTATCACAATTATATAGGCGACATAGAAGATGACAACAATCGGTCGATTATTATATACACTACCATAGTCTTCAGCATATGAATCAATAGATCTGAAGAAAGAAAGAAAGAAAGAGGATGAAAGTAAACAACCAATGTGAAAAGCAGTAAAATGTGAGACAATTAAATAAATAAATAAATAAAGTAACAGTAAACTATTGAAGATGTTCTGAGCCAGTTTGTCAACAAAGGCAGAGCATTTAGAGGTCTTCTGAAAGTCAACCAGTGTGAAAGTTGAACAATAACAGCTGATATCCACTGCTCAGAACTGACGAGGATATCAAAGTAAGAATCAGAAAAGCAAGACAAGCTTTCACTACACTCAAGTCTGTATGGAGGTCAACAGCACTCAGCATCAAAAATAAGATCCGGATTTTCAACTCCAATGTGAAGTCAGTGCTACTTAACATACGGATCAGAGACTTGCACTGCGCGTCATAAAGAGCATCTCAAACAAACTACAGACCTTCATCAACAGCTGTCTTCGCTCAATACTCAAGATCAGATGGCCGGCCAGAAAAGATCAACAACGGAGAAGGGTCTCTGGGAGCAAATCAACCCAGCAGGAACCGACTGTGCAACAAATAAGCAGGAAGAAATGGAGATGGATTGGCCATACTCTGAGAAAACAAACCATCAAGTGACATCACACGCCAGGCCATCGCTCGAGTGGGACCCGAAAGGGAAGCGGCGAGTTGGTCGTCAGTGCAAAGGTGACATGGAGGAGGTCATGTGAAGAGGAGATGAAAACGTGTAGACAGACTTGGAGCCAGGTGAAGATTCTAGCATAGAACCGAACGCAATGGAGAGGTGCAGCTGAAACCCTATGTTCCTCTAGGAATTATAGGAAACAATAATAATAATAATGTGTGTATTCCATAATTCACATCTATAGAGAAAATCCTAGATAGTCTAAAGCTTGTAAGATTACAAGACGTGAAGACATTTGGTCTCCTTAAAGCATCCCGAGGATCTTGACAACTACAGTCTATTATTTTGCACAGTGATGCAGTGAATTTTAAGACATTATCACATATTATTCTTCCTTTTTTTCTTCATGAATAGTACTCATTGGTAAATTGTATCGTTTCATGAATTTTAAGAAGTAACTTTATGACAAAGAAGAAAGTTAACAGGGAGAAAAGTAAATTAAATATTTATTCATATATTAATTACTTATTTATTCAGTAAAAGATCCTTAAACATGTAAACTATTATTATTATCATTTTTATGATCATGATTAAATGATAATATGAAATCTCTTATTTATCAGTTCAACGACTATGCTTTTTCCCCCTTAAAAGCCTTAATATAATAATAATAATAATGATAATAATAATACTGTGACCTAGTTAAAAGGATATAATATATTGAAGAAGATAAAGGTGAGTGTTGGATGAGTGAGTGGACGATGCATTTAGTAGTAATCAGGAAGCAGTGATGAAGAGAAAACACGGTCACAGGGAGGGACATACAAGACAGAAGAGAAAGAGGAAGGGGGGGGGGGAGACCTAAGAGTGGAAACAATCAAACGAAGAGATGATAAGCAGGAAACTTTCAGATAATATCTACATTTCATGTATTATTTACATGGTTTTTTATGTTTGTATGTATGTGTGTCCCTCCCCTGTGTTTGTGTCCATCCATATTTAATGATGAATGGCTAACTGTGATTGAATTGATGATGAAAGAGAGAGGTTGCTTCATGCAAAATATAACTGATAACAAACAATAACAGAGAGTAAGAGTTTTGTAAAGAGTTTAGCAATGAATGAGTTTATTATCTTAATAATTATTATTATAATTTGATGATTATGAGAGTTTCATCTCTAGGAGTAAATTAATTCAAAAACAAAAGAATAGAATAAAGCATATTTGTAAATCGCATATATGTATCGGTGGTTCAGCGGTGGCACAGTGGTTAGGACTCTCGCCGACCATGTACATGGTCCGGGGTTCAATTCCCTAACGACTCACACCTGATATAGCCTTTGAGAAGGCCTTCGACAGCGTTGACCGCGAAGTAATTTGGAAACTACTCAAGTACTACAGCGTACCCCAAATATTCATCAACCTTATTCAACAGCTGTACGACAACGGCACATATTAAGTGATCCACAACGGAAAACTCAGCGAGGCGTTTGGAGTAAACACATGAGTCAGACAAGGATGCTTATTATCACCAATGATATTCCTAATTGTGGTGGACTGGATTATGCGTCAGACAGTGGGAAACGAGAAGACATGGATATCCTGGACCGACATGAAGAACCTAGAAGACCTGGATTTCGCGCGTTGATGATTTATGTTTGATGTCACACAAAATCGAAGACTTACAAGCGAAAACCGACAAACTGGTCGAAGAAGCAGCTGGAGAAGACAGGACTCCAGGTGCACATAGACAAGACGGAGGTTATGAAAATAACCATCCAACAACAACAACAGCAGCAGCAACATCCAGCGCCAATCACCATCAACGGGAGGGATTTGAAAGAGGTTACTTCATTCACTTATCTAGGTAGGGAGCATTATTTCAACTACAGGCACATGGAACGGACGAGGATGTCAAATCGACAATTGGGAAGGCGAGAAACACATTCATCAACCTGAAACCAATCTGGAAATCTTCGTCACTCCTCAGCATCAACAACAACGAAATTCGGATTTTCAATGCAAATGTCAAGTCAGTCAGTTCTTCTATACGGATCAGAAACTTGGCGGGTCACAAAGAATATTTCCAACAGGTTACGGACTATTATCAACAACTGTCTTCGCTGGCTCTAGACTGAAGATCAGATGGCTGGAAAGAATCACCAACAAGAAACTATGTGAAGAAACAAAACAAGAACCAATCGCTCAACAAATATGCAGGAGAAAGGGGAGATGGATTAGACAATCGCTGAGGAGGCCGCTGGGTGACATCGCGCGTCAGGCCATCGCTCGAGTGGAACCCGAAAGGGAAGCGGCGAGTGGGACGTCTTAGGGTGACATGGAGGAGATCGTGCGAAGAGGAGTTGAAGCAGTTTGGAATAACATGGGTGCAGGTGAAAAGTACGGCAGAAGACAGAAGCAAGTGGAGACGTGCAGTTGAAGCCCTATGTTCCACTAGGAACCCAAGGGAACAATAATGATAATAATTATTTGTGTGTGTATCAGTGGTTCAGCGGTAGAACACTCGCCAGTCATGCCACACATGGTCAAAGGTTCGATGCCCGGCCAACACCCAACCCCCCAGACCTCAATAAGTCAGTAGTAAAGCCTGTTAAGCAGGAAGGTTAGGTTGGGTGTCAGGCTAGCAGCCTCACCGCATAAAAATAAAACCACTGCCAATGGAACTTCAAAGCTCTAGACTGGAGCCTTATTTTCCGCTCAGAACGTAAAGGTACAAAATCAATGAGATAAATTGTATAAATAATCAAACAGCATGAGGGTCATTCAATGTCTCAATGCTTACTTTTGCTTTTATTGAAGGAAGATGCTTCACCTCACTGGCACTTGTAAGCCTTTTATCAGCCTTTGTCATTTCCCTCTCTGAGAATCTAGAGGAGAATAACCTTATTTTTGAACTTTTCTTCTGTGATTTGATTAGCTATTGGTTTGATTTTAAGGGATGGGGTCACTAGCGCCAAGCCCAACCTACCCTCTTTCTTCGGGCTTAGAATCGGTTGGTAAGCTACTGAATTAATTCAACTAGGCGATGTTATACATACTAGAAGATCTACAGCCGGAAACCAACAAGTTGGCAGAATAATTGACCAATACAGGATTTCAGGTGAATATGGAGACGACAACATGCACCAATTACCCTAATTAGGAGAAATAGGAAGGAAGACACCTCTTCTTTTCTTTATCGAGACAGCGTCGTTTCAACTGTAGGCAGCGGCACGGATAAGGATGTCGAATACAGGATCAGGAGATGCAAAGTGGATTTTCAGTACTCTGAGATCAGAGTGGAAATCTACTACACTCAGGATAAAAAAGCAACTTCGAATTTTCAACACTAATGTTTATTTAATGATTCTATATGGTTTATAGACTTGATGCATGTGTCACGGAAAGCATTTGCAGCTGGACCTTGCAGACTTTCGTCAACATCTACTGGATATTGGTTGACGACAAGGAACTCCATCAACGAAAACACGAGGAACCTATTACTTAACAAATATGTAGAAATTGATGAATTGCCAACGCCTCCACCATACACAAAAGCCGAAACCTGACACCATTTGTACCATTTGTCTTCACTTTGTAGATGATCTTGAAAAACGACTAACTAAAGAGTTCAACAGCTGCCATCATGCCATCAAAATAACGTTGGAATCAGAGATTAACTCGGAATTCCATTTTTTGGATGTTTTTCTAATGAGGAGATCTGATGGTTCTCTTCAAAGATCGATCTACAGGAAACCAACATGGAATGGTCAGTACACAAATTTCCATAGCTGGGTCCCTTTGAGAAGAAAGAGAAATCTGATCCATTCCTTATCCTGAAGAATAAGGAGGATATGTTCAAGTGATACAGACGATGGGGAACTGGGGCGACTCAGACGAGTCCTCATAGAGAGAATGGATATCCTCCAAGATTTATCGAGAAAAACATGAAGCCAAGGGAAAAACCTGAAAGAATCCAGACGGTGCCGAAGAAACTACTGTTTATGAGTGTTGAATTTAAAGGTGATACCGCAGCTGAGATCCTGAAGAATCGCTTATGCAGATCACTGAGGAAAGCCTTCTTTATGGCTGAACTACGTATCAATTTCTGCAGTCAACAAATGATCAATGGATGTGTGAAGGATAAACCACCGCTTTGGGCCACCTCAATGTGTGTTTATAAATTCACCTGCTCGTGTGGAGCTAGTTATATTGGCCGCAAAAAGCGCACGCTTTCCAAATGCATCTATGAACTTTATCCAGCATGGTTAGCAAAGGGACAGTGTAAGACAGTTACTAGC